ATTCTTTGCTTGTCATGATTGCCAAGGGCATCGCCCAGGGGATGCATTACCTACACTGCTTGAGTACTGGCCTCTCTTTATTTATATCCTCTGTTGATCCTCGCTGTCCGCTGACTGTTTCGTGCGTAGTCTTCCTCGTTGTGGCCATTCACTCTACCGCAGACATCATTCACCGCGATCTCAAGGTGCCTCCTCCTTCCCCTTGACCGCACGACTCACCACCACGTTCGTTGATTTGTCATTAAAATAACCTTTGCTTGGTGTGTTTCTATGGCGATCGCCTCGATATCACAGCCCTCCAACATCCTGGTACCGCTTACCACGCTTTGTCCCGTGTTCTCATCTCTCCTTAATGTAGTGTCTCAACCACACACACTGGTTGGGGTCTTTTTGTTGAAGAATCCAATTGATTTGGCCTGGCCCAAGCGCATGTTCTTGAGGCCCAATCTCAGCCACTTGAGGGTTTCCTGAATTGTCTGCGCTAATCCATTGGGAGCTCATGAATAGTGTGCATGAGAGAAGATGTTTTGGCAACACTGTCTGGGTGAACCTTTCATGAGTCTCCATTTCCACATTGCTTGCTAATCTCTGGTTTTGGCCAAAGTTGAAGCCTCCAGGTCATGGTCTTGCTGGTTAATGTAATCTGTGTCTCCCTCCATGGCTGGGTGAGATCACTGGGTAAGATAGATGATGGTGATGTGGTGGGGTGGAGGAGACCAATTGGACTCACAATCAGCACACACACCCTTAAAAGATGTACATTGCACACAGTGATTGGCTATCCAAGGTAGACATCAATGGCATTATCACCCCCCCACACCACCAATACAAAAATAAATTTCTTTTTTGTCTTTTCCTCTGTGGTAAAGCCATGCAACAACAGAGAAGGCACCTTTGTCCACAAATAATAACAGTCAGCCTGCTTCCCCACCACACCCAACCTCACTTTGTCTCTGGAATGAAGGCCGCCCTTGCTTTCTTCGTGCTGCTTCTCTTGCTATTGCAGGTGGACAGCGAGGCCGCCACCACTGCGCTGCAGTTGTGGCTGTCCCTGAACACCTGGCAGCTGTCTTACCCTTGGGGGTCCATGGTGGTGACCACAGTCAGTGAGGTCACCCTCTTTGCTGGCAGCAACAACAGGTTCAGCACTGACTATTCCATGGTGGACCTATTCAACCTGTCCTCTGGTGAGAGGACAAGTGCTTGGCTCTTCCAGCCTTGTGTTGGCCTGGCTGCCACGTCCAGTGGCAACCTGGCCTTCTTTGCTGATGGTGTTCACAGCTATCTGGATCTATCTAACTTCTCAGTGGTGGACATCTACAATGTGATGTCCAACTGGTGGCACAAAACCTACTGTACCCTCTCACAGCCACACACCAGCATGACAGTGACAACAGTCAGCAAGCTTGCTCTGTTCACTGGAGGCATCGTCTACCACTCATCACCCACAGTCTCACAGTATTATCCAGAGCTCTTGGATGTGGTCGACATCTTCAACATCTCAATGGGTCTCTGGAGCAGGGACAGCTCTCCCTGCCCTGCATGTCTATCTCTGTGACATCAGTGCGCAATCTGGTGCTGTTCACTGGAGGCTACACTGATGATATTAACAGTGTTGAAAGAGTTGATCACATTGACATCTATAACACATTGTCCAACCAGTGGAGCGTGGCTCATCTCTCACAGCTGCACAGTGGTATGGCAGCCACAATGGTGGGTGACATGGCCATCTTTGCTGGTGGCTACAATGATAAGCTTGGCGGCCCACAGGCAATGGTGGACGCCTACAATGTGTCCTCTGGCTGGTGGTTCACAGCTGGCCTGCACCTGTTGGAGGCTTGGAGCTCACTATCAGCCATGTCTGTGGGCGGCTTCACTCTCTTTGCTGGAGGCTTTTCCACGGTGGTATATGCCGTACCCACGTTGGACATCTTCAATGTGTCCGCTGGCCTCGTCTCGCCTTCAACCACGCCATCAGCGACGCCTTCAGTGTCTCCCACAGCCTCCATTAC